AATTCATTTTGCTCATGCGAGGAAACTCTTAGGCTATGTCTACACTGGCGGTTTCTTGCACAAGAACATCTTGCACAAGAGTTCTTGTGCAAGAACACGTCCACACTGCCATGTGCGAGCTGTGCTTTTGCACAAGAGCATCTATGGCAGTGTGGACGCTCTCTTGCCCGAGAAAGTGCCGATGGCCATTTTAACCATAGGGCTTTCTTGCGCAAGAAATTCATGTTGCCTGTCTACATTGCCCTCTTGCGCAAGAACAGTTACATCATAGTTTATTCCTGAGCGGGAGCATCATAGTTCTTGCGCAAGAAGCCCTGATTTCATACATGAGAACTCTGTCCCCTGCTCCCACCAGCATATTTGGGACCACATTAGTGAGGCTTGAGGGTCTTTGGAAGGTTGTTGGGGTTTTTTTCCATCTCACTTGTGTGGCCCCAACAGACTTTTCTGTGGATCAGTGACCCTTGACTCAAAACAGGTTCCTCACCCCTCTCATAAAGACAGTGCTAAAACTTTTTGAGTTTGAGATAATATTTTAGTTAAAAATGAAGTCTGGCCAACAAGCCCCCAATTGGGGCCAAACCCCCATCTCACTGCAGCATCATAACACTCCTGCACCACCTGACCCCAAATCTGAGCCTATCGTACACTGGAACCCCCTGTCCTGGACCTCTTACATCCCCAAACTCCTGCATCCCCCCCATCCTCCGTCTTCTGCTGCAACACTCCTGCACCATCCACACATGGCAAATCTGTGTCCTGAGCCAGTCATACTCACAACCTTATTGCCCTGAGTGCCTCACATATCCAGCCCAAACTCCAGCACCCTTACATCCACAAGCCCATGGCTTGCTCAGCACCCCAACCTTCCACCTGAACCCAACACTCCTGAGCCTGGAGTCCCCTCTCCGAGCCAACATCCCCTTCTCTGGCATCCAAATTCCCTCCCAGAGCTTGTACTTCTCACCCCTTCCCACATCCAAATCCCTCATTCCCACCCCTCACCTCCTGTCTCAACCTAGTAAGAGTGTATAAGGGCTGGGGATAGCAAGTGATGGAGAGGAGGGGAACAGAGCAGATGATGCCTCAAGGAAGGGGGGTGGGGGTCTTGGGGAAGGAATGTGATTTTTGTGCTTTTTTTTTTTTTGCTTGACAAACCTAGGGGTTCCTTGAAATTCTGAAAAGCTGAAAAGGGTTCCTCGGCCAAATTAAATTGGGAAACACTGGTCTAGACACACCCTTAGTTAAGATTTTAAATACTTGAACAGCAGCAGCACTCAACTGCTACAACATGAGAGAGAGCAAAAAATATGGAGAACACAAGTGGTGAAAGTGAACAATCCTCTATTCAAAGGACATTGTTTTGACTTACCCATGTGATGCTCATTATAGTGTACTCTGAATGAAGTGTCTGCATCAATCAGTCCATCTTGAGCTACAGAGCCCTGAAGAATGGTTGCAAAGTGACTCTATTCCCTATTCCCTATTGTTGGAGGGTGAAAGGATTGGTGGGGAGAAAGAAGTTTATGCCTATTCACTTGGGCCAGGAAAGAGTTCCAAGGTCTTCTGGGGTTCTTAAACCTCGATCTTCTGAATTCACATAAGAATTTAGCTATTCAGAAATTATTCTCTACAGAAAAAACATTGGAGAACTCTGTTTCAAGTACTACTAAGACTAGCCAGGGCCACTAGACAGCACAGGGCTGCTTTGGATGAGTGTTTTTTTCAGGAATAACAACAAGGGTGTGTTTTTTTCAACCTATTAAGCATGCAGTGGCAGAGACATAGCACGTGAATGACGGCTGTGTAATTTATGTATTTAATTACTAGGACCCAATAGAGACATTAGGTAAATAAAACATGGAAATCAGTTACACTGGCCATTTGCATGCACACTCACACAGACAGACACACAGCAGCAGCTCAGCTGTATGGTGGGATGCCATTTGCACGCACACTCACACAGACACACACACAGCAGCAGCACGGCTGTATGGTGGGACTGAGAGGCAGCAGGGCTGCCCTGCGGGGCCAGGTGTCCGACTGCAGGGCTGCCTGGCAGCAGGGCCAGGAATCCAGGAATGGAGCTGTCGAGTGGCGCAGCAAAGAGCCTGGCAACCCCACTGCCGCCTGGCAGAGTTACTCAGTGAGGCTGGGAGGTAGTAAGCCTGCCCAAAGAGACTGAAGCTCAAGTGGTGCTGGCACCTGAACTCCAGCAGGGGGCTGTCCCACAGGACTGGGAGCCCATCAGCGGGGCTGTGCTTGCAGTGATGGGGCTGCCAGGTGGGTCTGGGAGCCCTGTGCTGAGGGGCCGGGGGCAGGGGGAAGCCAGCTGGGAGGCAGGCAGCGAGGCTATGGCTGGGGGAGGCCGGTGGCTGGGAGAGGGGGGCAGAAATGATCTTCTTAGATCCAGCGAAATCTCTCTTCTGGGACCGATCATGTCCCGTGTGTGCCAGACGAGGGAGGTCCAACTGTAGAATTCCCACCAGCCTAGTGCAGAAACCTTATTGGGCAGTTTCTGGTTGATGGTATTGAATTGATAAGCTGCTCATTTGTTTCCAATAGGAGGGAGGGAAACCTCTCCAGAAGAGCTCAGGAGACCTGGGTTTCACTATGACCGGAAGGGAACGCTCAGAATATGTGCGATGGAAGAAAGAACGAGATCAGATTGACCTGGAGAGGCTAGCACGCCACAAGAATGCAAAGGGCGAATGGCGACGGGCTTGGGATGTAGAAAAGTCAGAGCACATGTAGGTAATCTGCACTACTGAGGGGCCTAGAATGCTACAGGCCCTAGTACAGCCAACGATAGGGTCTGTCAGTAGGTCTGTATTCTGATGGGACATTGTGAACTGGTAAACTGTAAGCCATTAAATACAGGCAGTCCCCAGGTTACATGGATCCAACTTACATCGGATCCCTACTTACAAACGGGGTGAGGCAACCCCGCACTAGCTGCTTCCCCCAGCAGACCAGGGAGACGCGGAGCGGCTTTTCTCAGCAGACACCTCAGCTTGAGAATAAAGGACTGAGGGAAGTGAGGTGTGGGAGAATAAAACTGAGCTCTGGAGAAATGTTTGGCTCGAGTTTCCCCTACAATATGTACCAGTTCCGACTTACATACAAATTCAACTTAAGAACAAACCTACAGTCCCTATCTTGTACGTAACCCGGGGACTGCCTGTACCTAGGGCTTATCACCATGGGCTATACAGCAAGGATGGGCAACCTAGGCTAGTGAGTGGCTGTGTGAGTGATCCTCCTTCATCTCAGTGGGATGCAAGACCAAACTGTCTCCCAGATTAAGATAGCTTTGCTAACTGCTCTTGCATACCTAGAACTTGGGGGGATGTGCCACTTGAACAGTAGCAGCGCTTTGTTTGGCTGCAGAGGGAGTACATGGCTCTCAGAGTGCTGTGAGCAATCAGCATGCACCTCACTTCACATGTCTTTGTTTTATGGGTGTGTCATTTTAGTTATCCTGGTAGGAAAAAAAACTGTGGATGGAAACCAGCAGAATCTGGCAGCCCTGCATGTGGGCCACACAAGGAACTCCAATGGATCATATGTAGCTTGCAGCCTGCCCACCATTGTTCTACAGGGAGACAGAGAGGGTCATATCACAGCCCATTCTCTCTGCCTCCATTGATGGGTTTACCCACAGCTGATTCCACCCATACTCTGATCTATCTCCCTGGGATTTACTCCCTGGGACACTCCCAATCACTGCATAGATTCTAATAATCTTCCTCTTAAAAATAAAAGTTTGTCTTCCAGGAATAAAGAGTTGGTTAGCAGCATATTTGTTTCCTTTTAACCCTTGGAGGGAGAAGGGCTCTTTTGACTGTTAAGATTTCAGTGACTGTATTATTTGTGTTGTCTTGTGACATTGTCATGTGACTGGAGTCTTTGTGCAATACTTGCCTATGTAAGATGGAGATCTTAAAAATGAAACAATTAAAAACAACCCCCGCAAGCTGCCATAGCTTTGTTTCCTTTATCTGCCCCCCAAATGTGGAACTTTCACTCCCAAAATTACCCTGGCCTGTGGCACAATTAATATTCAGACAGGTCAATAATAGATTTTCTATACATAAAGATATAACAGGTTTAATAGTCAGCTGTAAGGGGATTGAACTGGGTGCTTTATAATAATGGAAAAGGGAGACTCCCAGCTTCCCAACTGGAGGCACCATCAGGAGGAGCCCATAAGATTTGTGACCTTTTAAATGTATTGTCAGAGACAGATTATTGAACTAGATGGTCTACTGCTCTGATCTAGTTTGACAAATCCTGTGTTCCTAGAGAAAAGCTATTTCAGGTCATGTTAAGCAATTTGTGTGGCACCTTGCATAGTTGGCCTCATAGTTGCAAGGGCAGCTGAGTTTACAGGTGAAGATACACACAAGATACTCCCATTTAAAAATGTCTTGAAATCTCCAAAACATTCGTAAAATAGTTTCCCTGTAATACATGTGGCATATGCAGAACACAAGATTGTCTGTTATGATATAAAGGCTGTAGGAGAGCTCCTTTCTGGTGGAAGTATATATGACTCATGGATGTGGCTTCTCTTAGAGCTAGTTTACATTTGCAGCTGAGCTGCTGTAGTGTTTCAGCACATCAGTGTAGCCACTCACTACAATGATAGGCATGTGTGTGTGTGTATGTGCTTGATTTTAAAGTCTCTCCACAGAGTTAATCCACCTTCCTGACAGCTTTGCTAGATCAACAACAGAATTGGGGGTGAGCGTGGCTTAACTTGTCACTCAGGTGTGGAGTTTTCATACCTCTGAGCAAGTTGGGTTGACTTCAGTTTTGAATGTAGACCTACCTAGGTCTGATGGATTGATGTTGTTTAGTGAAGTGAGTGGTTTTGTGTCTGACAATGCCCTGTTTTCACCTGCAGGTTTGAGGAGGATTTTACTAAGGGTGGGGAGCCAGTCTTGGATAATCTCATCAGTAAGAAAGGTAAGAAAGGGACACACTCATCGGCTGTGTCTACACTGGCAAGTTATTCCGGAAAATCAGCCGCTTTTCCGGAAAAACTTGCCAGCTGTCTACACTGTCCGCTTGAATTTCCGGAAAAGCACTGACGATCTAATGTAAAATCATCAGTGCTTTTCCGGAAAAACTATGCTGCTCCCGCTCGGACAAAAGTCCTTCTCTGGAAAACTGTTCCCGAAAAGGGCCAGTGTAGACAGCACAGTAGTGTTTTCCGCAAAAAAGCCTCGATAGCAAAAAGGACGATCAGGGCTTTTTTGTGGAAAAGCACGTCTAGATTGGCCATGGACGCTTTTCTGGAAAAAGTGCTTTTCCGGAAAAGCGTCCTGCCAATCTAGACGCGCTTTTCCGAAAATGCTTTTAACGGAAAACTTTTCTGTTAAAAGCATTTCTGGAAAATCATGCCAGTGTAGACGTAGACGTCCTGTTTTGACATTTGTTAGCCATGAACATGTGGCTCACAGGTCCATGTCAAGGTGTGAAAGAGCCAGCCCTTGGAGGCTTTGCTTTCCCTTAGGCCTGTACAGAAGTGACTCTGAAATCAGTACATAAGCTTCAGCACTCCCTGCTTTGCAGAGTGCTCAGTGCATCTGTGGATAGTGTCACTACTCCTTGTTCCCCAGAGCACAGCTGTGACTAGCTCAGAAACTTGGGCTCCAAAGCTCAGTGGGAGTTGAGCACTGAAATGCACTTGAGAACCTAGGCCCTGAACTCTCTGTTCTTTATGATATAACAGTATACAGTAAAATTCCAATTGTCCGGCATCCAGTGGTCCGGCACTCCTGATAATCCGGCACCAACTGTAACCCGGAAGTGCTCCGGCAAGCCAGACAGTTGGAGCTGCTCTGCCCCTGGCTTCCCCAAGTCCGCCGCTGATCAGTTTCAGCAGTGGCGGACTTGGGGAAGTCGGGGGCAGAGCAGCTGGGGTACTGCCGGGTTGGTCCTGCAGCACCGCCCTCTCCCACCCTGCGCAGTTCCTGCAGTTCCCCGCCGACCCCCACCCCCACCCCAGATCCCTCATAGCCCCCCTTCTGGTACTCTGGCATATCTGATAATCTGGCACCCCCTGGCTCCTAAAGGTGCTGGATTATCAGAAGTTACTGTATATAGAAGCTTAGAACTGGCTCCTTTCCCAAGCACTGGTTTCACAAGGAGTCATATTGCAGCTTATCATCTGTGTTCCCAAGGGCACATGACAGAGTCTTAATTAGAATAAATCCACTCCAGTTCCTGTCCTCAGGAGAGCGAGGGAGTGAAGCTTTGCTGCTAGAACACACACACAAGCTGATGCTTGCTGTTGGGCTTTCATTATGTAACCCTTCTGCCTTTTTGTACATGCTGTGTCCTTTCAGGGGGAAGAAATGCCAGGAAATTCCAGCACAGGTCCTTTCCTTCTGAAGGGAGAGGTGAGTAGAGCCTATGATTGGTCTTAAATTGAACTACTGGGCTCTCACTTTCTTTACACCATGCAGTGATTGGGGTTTCACATACACTGACCAGTGAAGGAATTCTATACATATGGGACTTGGGGCTGGAATAATGTCTCAAAATTAGACATACTGGCTATCATGAGACCTACATGGTCCATATGTACTTCAGGGGCAGAGTGGTGGCACGAACCTGTAATCCAAGCTGCTTGGGAGGCCAAGGCTAGCAGATTGCTCGAGCTCATGAGTTGTGGGCTATGCCAGGTGGGTGCTGGTACCACTGACAGCTTTGCCAGTGGGTGGCTGAAGGAATGGCGTGCTGTGATTGGTGCTCCCTCAATGATCACTGATGGACCGTTTGATCAAGCTGACATGCTTCAGGTTGCATTTTCCTAGTATTTGACTCCATTAGCCACGTTCCTAACTCCTCTGTATAATGGGACTCCTAGGCACCACCTCTATGGATGCTCCAGAGCTGGAGCAGCCACAGAAAAAAATATGGAGTGCTCAGCTCCTACCGTAGCTCCTCCCCTCCCCTGGTGCCTCCTAGCTGCCAGTAGCCCTGGCAGTAAGCTCCTCCTCCCACCTGTCCCGATCAGTTTTTCAGCAGCATGTAGGAGGCATGGATGTTAAAGTCTAGTCAACTATCCGATAAGCATTTGCTTATCAGATAGTCTTTTGACTAGTTGACTAGTCGATACCACTTCCCCCACCCCCCCCGCCTTGCTGCCTTTAGATAGCAGTGGCGCTACCACTTTGAAACCCCAAGGCAGCTGCTGCACAGCTGATCCGTGGATCAGCTTTGCAGTGGGCTGCCCCTTTAAAACGCCACCTCTGCACAATTCAAAGGGGCAGCCAGGAGCCCGCGGTCAGCTGGGGACTCCCCAGCTGATCCCAGGCTCCCTGTGGCATTTCCCCAGCTGACCCTGGGCTCCGCGGCTGCCCCTTTGAATTGCACAGAGGCAGCATTTTAAAGGGACAGCCCACTATACAGCTTATCTTTAGTGTTTCAAAGGGGCAGCTACCGTGGAGCCCGGGGTCTTCTGGGGACTCCCAGCAGACCCCAGGCTCCCCGCAGCACTTCTCCAAAACCTAGGATCAGCTGTACTTTGAAGTACCCCTTTTCCCCCACCCCCTCCCTTTGCTGCCCCTATCTCATAGAGGCAGCAAGGGTGGGGGGAAGGGAGTAGTATCGACTAGTCAACTAATCAAAAGACTATCTGATAAGCAAATGTACAAGGGGCTCTTGTACATTTCAAAGGAGGAATGTGGAAGTGCCTATCGACTAGTCGACTGAGACTTGCACAAGGATCCGGGGGCAGTGTGGTAGCCAAGTGACACTGGACTAAAACAAAGATCATGGTTTCCCAGAAAGGCTTCTCTTTCGGTGGGGACCAACCCCATAGGCATAGCAAAGGAGCATGCTAAGGAACAGTAGTGCAGGAGTGAGGAATCTGGGAGTTTATTGGTTCTGGTGCAATGGCAGTGGTGGTTAAAGAGCATGTTGGGAGCATTGCAGCAGCGAGGGAGAGATGAGGGATGGATATGCAGTCAGAGGGGCTGTGTCTACATTGGCATGATCTTGCGCAAATTCTCTTTAACGCAAGAGTTCTTGCATTAAAGTATTTGCGCAAGAGAGCGTCTACACTGGCATGTGCCTTTGTGCAAGAGATGTGCTTTTGCGCAAGAGCATCCGTGCCAGTGTAGATGCTCTCTTGTGCAAGAAAGCTCCAATGGCCATTTTAGCCATCGGGCTTTCTTGCGCAAGAAATTCATGTTGCCTGTCTACACTGGCCTCTTGCGCAAGAACAGTTGCTCAAGAGGGCTTATTCCTGAGTGGGAGCATCATAGTCCTTGCGCAAGAAGCACTGATTTCTTACAGTAGAGCGTCAGTGTTCTTGTGCAAGAACTCCCCGCCAGTATAGACAGGCCGCATGTTTTTGTGCAAAAGCGGCTGCTTTGGCACGAGATCAGGCCAAAGTAGACACATCCAGGCTGTATTAGAAATGATGGAGCAGGGTGCCTGCTAGCAAGAAGTAGCAGGCATGGAGGCACAGGCACCTATAGGAAGTGGTGCAGTAGTAATGGCAACTCAAGAGCATATTGGGATGCAGTGGAAGTGGCAGCTAGAAAAAGGTGCTGGAGCTGAGGTCAGGGTGCAGTTGAAGCAGTGCAGGGGGGATTGCTGTCAGGGGACATTTTGGCTTTGTAGCTTTATATTTTCCTCCTCTCCAACACAACTCCTTTCTTTAGGAAATACATTCACAAACTCTAGTGATAAAATATATCTGGCTCCCATCTGAATGAGAACAGATACATTTGCCCTTAGCTCTTTGTACATCGTGTCTTTCAGGTGGAGGACAAACTACTACAAACACGAGTGAGCCTGCTTCCAGAACAGTACCGGTTGTGAGCAGTAAAGCCAGAGGAAAGGACAGACTGACTGGCAGAGCCAGAAGGTAGGGGGATAGGAAGCAGGACATTATGGAAACCATTTTGTAACCACCGCTAGAGGTCTTGCTGATCAGAGCTGGGGGTTTTCAATTAATTCCCTTGATTCATTTGGACTGACAGTCCATGGGGGGGTCTCCAGGCCAGGGATTACATCATTAAACTTGCATGTCCATTTCTGTGACAGAGCCTGGTGGGACATCCAGTCAGAGACCCCAGCTCCTTACGGGATGCTGTGTCTCCCTCATGTGCCAACTGCAGAATCTTCATTGAGGGACCACAAAAAAACAGTGGCTCAGACAATGAGTCCTGGCAGACTGGGCAACCGCCAGCCTGTTGAGCCTGTTTTCAGGCTTTGCTGGCTCAACGAGCAGGCCTCTGGAGATTGTTTCCATGGGTGTAATACTAATTAGCATGACTGATGCTTCCTAGAGACTGTTCCTCTAGTCCCCAATGAACACGTATATACTGTACATATTGTAAGAAAAAATATTGAGATTCCCCCCTGAGCTCAGCCCCACCCCTTCTATGCTACTGGGTAGGTGTAAAAGCCCTGATCAAGTCAGGGCAGAACTCTCCAGCACAGGCACAGAGTTCTTGTCCATAAGAAGACTTTGCACACAGCCAGCAAGTGCGTTCACATGCCTCATACTAAGTCATCTGGTAGACCTGCTACTGTGCACTAGAAGTTCCACTGTGTGCTTTGCCAAACTGCTGTTTGAAACAACCTGTTAGTAAAACAAGTCAGGGTGTTCTAAGGATTGGAAACCCAGCTGTGTGAAGGACATGTTGGGAAGAGGCAGGGCCATACTACATAGCACAGTAGAGATTTCAGGTAGCGTTGTTACCCATAAACATCTCACTGGGAGTTGCCCCAAACCTCACAAATTCGCAAAGTGAAAAAGGGCATGAAGGTGCTTAAAACTATCTTAGCCCCTTCTCTCTCTGGGTTGCAAGTTTTGTCCTGAGCCTCTTAGAGGTACAACTCAAAATCATACCCACAAAGAAGACATTGCTAGTTTTAACAACAGAGTTAAGGTTGCATTGAGATAAGCAGAATTAAAATCTCTAGGCCTTATTCTCCCATGACAAGTTTTACATTGATCTAAGTGATTTCTACTTCAGTGAAACATCTATTGATTATAGTGGTGAAAGGGAGAAGAGAATCCAGCCAGCTGCTTCTGTATTATACTTTAATGATCTAGGTTAGCTTCCAAATTTGGCACACTTCAAGGCATACCCCAGCCTTCCAGTGCTTCACTATGTGATGGCTTAATAACAATTCTCATCTTAAATCTACAATCCTACTGTGTGCCAGCCAACAAGAGAAAGCAATGTTGATCATATACCCAAAACTTAATACACCAAGACCACAAACAACATTCTGCTGTATGTTGACAGTGTATTTTTAAAATAATCAGGTCAGTTATACAACAAATACAGAGCTACACTAATGCATAAACAGATACATTTCCTATCTATAATATTTACAGAATGCTGGTAAACTTGTACCTTTTTGTGGTGTATTCATTTCTGAATATGTGCACCAAAGGTGATAGCATTGTTGAATTAAAATGGAATGTGTTAGAGAGGGTAATCATGTGAGGTATATTGTCATATCATGACGTTAATGGGACTGGCACTGCCTTGTACATGGCTGGTTTAATTTATGATTTCCTTGCTTTTTAGTTTTTGCATTGTAAGGAAAGACATTGGAGTAACCTTAAGTCTAAGTTAATTATGTTTTGTGTTGGAATATATTTATAACAGCAAGATGGGTCCTGTTATGTCTCCTCAAATCCAATCAGCTAATCACACCTTAACCTAATTACAAAACATTAATTGGATAAGAATAACAACAGCAAAAATAATCAAGTTATCACAGTCTTTGTTTATAAGCTTCATTAAACCTCACTTCATTCTGAGGTTCAATCTCCAGCCAGCCACAGGAGCAACTGTTTCCGAAAGAAAAGCTGCTGTATAAATCTGACACATGGACAGTTCTTGACCTCAAAAGCGCAAGTAACTACACAGTGTCACCCACTCGAATTCCTAATGCCCCAGCCCCAACAAGCCAAACCAGATTTGAAGTTTGTGATTTAGGAAACTCTATAATATACACAGAGGAATTATTTAACACAAGGAACTGCACTCACGTTTTGGGTGGACTATCCAACACTATAAACAATAAGCAAAGGAGAATACTGTATCTATCTGAAACTTCTGGGGGAATTTAGAGAGGTCAGTTGTAGTTTCATGGTTGTGAAAATGAAGGTGCTGTGGACTGATGACCACAGCTGGGCAGGGCCTTAGTTTGCCACTTCATCTGAATGCCAGCCATTTCACAATACAGTGTCCCCAACATCCTGCTGGGGCTAGGGTGACCACCTGTCATGGATAGGCTAGAAATGCAGCGCTCAAGTCGCAGGCCTGGGTTGAATGATTCTGGGACAACTCTTGTCCTGGATTCCTGGTGGTGCCCGAGTCTCAGGAGTGGTGCCTGCTTTTTCCCATTGTGAGGCGGGGCTGAGATGACCATTCCCCCCACCACCATGAAGTGCCACCCTCACTCCTCCTTTTCCCTCAGAACTGTGCCTCCTGACAATGCTGGGAGCCAGAGGTGGGCCATAGTCAGAACTGCTCAGGGAGTCCAAGCTGCTGTGGGGAGCTCCAATCCCTTCACCTACCCTAGGCAGTCTCGGGGACAAGGACATGGGCCAAGAGCTGCTCTTAGGCATCTTGCCCAGTGCAGGTGAAGGGTCCAAAGCTCCCCACAGCAGCCCAGGCTCCCTGGGAGGCTCTTACTATGGCCCAGCTTCAACTTCCAGCCTGGCCAGAGGGTGGGGCAGAAGTGGGGCTATGGAGGGAGTAGGGCTCATCCTTGTGCCCTTCTCTTGCATTTTGAAAAGGTGCTCATCTGACCTGGGTTGTTGGGTCAACCCTGAATCAGAGGCAGGACTGCCACCTCCAAAATCACCATCATAGGATCCTCCCTCATTTCAGCAGTTAAGCTAGTATCACTGCTCAGAACTGTGTGAAGCCGAAGAACTCAGTATCTAAGACTCAATAATGAACCACAATCTGTTCCTTGAAAAGAAACACACCAGCAATCCCTAGCTCTGGAGAGTTTGCTGAACAACTGGTTGTTCCAAGAACATGCTGTGGCTTACTAAGGGAGAAGCACATAAATCCCCCAAGGGTGGCTACTCTAGGAAACTGAGCCAAGCAAACAATTTGTATTTTCCATGACTGGGCTGCCCTGGGAATGTGAGCAGAACCATCAGAAATATGATTTTCCTTCTGTCTTCCTTTTGCCTGCCCTTCCTTCTGAGTCTGCTAGTGGTCATGACTTTTGGGGGTTGGAAGAGGGTAGTTTTAAGGATGCCAAGCCTGCAATAGCTGTGAATTCTCCTTCAGCATGGGCCTCCCACCCTGTTCTCTAGAAGGATGTCTGTTATGGGTGTTGGGATGGGAGTGGAGTGGGGTACTTGCTTAGGAATCATATCTACTCAAGATAACTGCCTCAAAGCAGCTAAGACCTTCGATAACTGTGCTAGGGCTTGTGGGTTGGATGCTTGGCTGGGAATCAATCGCAGGGGCATGCTAGCTTTGGAAATGGCCTAGTGCCTCAAATAAAATGCTATTTGCTGACTGACAGCTATTTTGCTGTTACTCCTCAGGGCCTGGAGTAGAATGGCAGCCTAAAGAGCTCCATGAAGAGGGCAGGGTGTGTATGACACTAGATTTCACACCCTGGGCCAGGCACAGCTTCTCCCCTGTGCAGAAGGCTAGGACATGTCCCTGAGCTGTTCTGGGAAAGGCAAAAGCAGCCAAGATGATAGGAGCCATAAAGTAAGTGCATCAGCAAGGGTCTATCTGTCAAGAGCTGG